GTCCGATGGTGGACCTAGATTATTATTCTGTCAGCAAGGTGTCAGCGATAGACCATCCAAGCAGAGAAGTATTCAAGGTACGTCACGTCTGTTTATTTGTTTGGCAACGTTCATAACTTTATGATTTACGATAATGCAATAATTTAATCGTTTTCAGATTCGGGAAAAGCTCGAGGCCACCTGGATTTAGTCCATCTTAGACCACCGTCCACACCGCCCGATAATCAACAGCAATTTAAAATACGCGGCGACTCGGGTACACAGCTGCAGCTTCTAGTGCAGCAACGTATGCTGCAGCAAAAGCGTAATTTATATCACCGGCACAAGGGCGGCGGTAGTCCGACCCCGATCCCAGTTTCCACCGCCGGCAGCACCAGTAGACGTGCCGATCACGTACCGAGGCAAGACAGCTACAAGCTGGCACAACGTACACAGATTTTGCCGCCTCTCTCTCAAGGACACGTCGACAGAGACTTCGACAGAGATAGAAAGCGAGACGAGGAGAGGTGGAAGAGTCTACCATCCCGCTTGGCAGCGGATTGCCAGTTGGCGGAGAGGTCGCTTATATGGAGCCAGCAGGTAAATTCATAAAAAAAAGTTACCGAAATAAAAATAGATAGATCAGGCAAACGTACGAATGAAGCGATATGTACAGTTATTGGAGCGCTTTTTACAATTGGACTGTGATTTTGACACTCTCTATTTGGAGGAAGTAAATTAATCGACATTGTAGAAAATGACACTGTAGAAAATGAAACTGGAAAACCCTTGTACATAGTTCACTCAATATAGAAGATAAGATTTTTTTTTATTGAGAGTGTCTCAGCATTATTGTAAATGCTTTCCACATTTGCAATAGTGAGCTAATGTACATAATGTTATTTAGTACCTACAATGTTATTTAGTACCTGCGATTTATTAGCACAATTATTTATGTTAAATGCAAATAAATGATTATTTTTCTTTAATTTGGCAGTTATCTTTTATTCTAATTTGCCTTACTGTGCATGAACCATCCTTGATATAAGATTATATACCATCTTGTTAGCAATTCAAACTTATAACGCACTTCAAACTGGAAACAATATGGAATCAATATGAAAAAAATTAGACAATATTACTGTACAATCGTATAGTTGATTCAATTTATATGCAATATGATAAATATTCTTACAATATTATATCTTAATAAAATAAAAATTCAAATTTTTATATCTTTACATTTTCGCATCAATATAATCAAGCAATCATGCATATTTTTTATATTTATATATACACATATATATAATATCCATAAAAAATATTTCATTATAAAATTGAAGTGTCTACATCTCCCACAATGCTTCCATATCATTTTGCTTGGCACATATTTTCTCCAAGGATACATGCATATAGATACAAAAGTATAGAAAAGAAATTAATTATTCATACTGAATATTAAATAATTGATACAATATGAAACATTAGGTGGGTCTTAGTGGAGGTGCATCTTACTTACCACCTGGCAGTGTAGGTGGTTTCTTGTGGCCCGCCACCAGCAATCCACATTCAACGATCTTCGAGAATGTAGGGGATCCAATGGAATAAATTTCTGCCCTATCGTTATTAGTAATTGCCTCGAGATCTTGCGTATGAAAAGTCAGCTGAATTATTATATCAAATTTCAGCAGTTCCCTCCCTAGTCTTTCCACGTTAACTTTTATTAACATAGTTGCATATCATTTTGCATTTGATAGAGAAACGCTAAGGTATACGAAGAATTTAATAACGTTCACTCATCTATAATAATTATATATCTTTACATACTCAAGATCTCCGATTAGATGTATGGTACATGTTACTGAATGCCAAAGATTTACAAATTTGTACTTATATTGGTCTGTCACATTGATACTCGAAGATTTGGTTAACGCGCTAAAAATTGCGTATAATATTCTATACAAATCATTCATTATTGTGCTCCATTTCACAAAAATATACTTGTCAATGTTGTACATCTGCATGAGTATACACAGGATACATATATATATATATATATATATACCAAAGAAAAGAGTTCTCATGCAGAAGAATCTTTATCATGCAGTAACACGTGTACCTGCCTTATTAAAATGACTGATTCTACCAGTCAAATATCCAATTATATCATAGACTGATAATTAACAAACTAAAACACCAATCGAGTTTAATTGAAGAGCAAATGGCATATGACTTGCTTTACAAACTCCGCTATTGAGAATATGAAGGGAAAAAAGAAGGAGAGAGATAGAGAACTGTGAGTTTTTTAAGTATTGTTAACTGTGGGGTTTTTAATTGACGGATTTAGATAGACTTAGATGGCTTTGAGCTCGTTCATTTCCATAACCGCTCATATGTATAAAACGAATAACGGAATATTACGAATTTACGCGATATAAATCCTTAGAGGATATAATTCTGTACTGCCAATGAGTGAGAGAAATGCGAATGCTCAAGTTATTGACGAGATATTATAAATACGTTATAGACATAAGAAAAAAAAACGAAATATTGACGATAAAGAATAACAGCGACTGAAATAGGATTAAAATTCTTTTGACAGCGGAGCACCAAGTAGTATGCCATTTTCGCTTTTCTATTAATTTAATTGAAGAGTGGAAACACGACACGGGTTAAAAAGAACTTGTTCGTTATGTTTTTTCAATGAACGTTCCATTGTACAAAATTAGAGATGTTTTCCTCTTCCACTCTTCACAATGGTGACCATAGAAAATAGAGAAAATAATAACGAAAAACAATAATATTAGTGGTAAATAGTAGTTAATGTGTCAGAAGTGCTGCATTCTGTAAAGATGTTTAAATAAATTATTTACTATGATCATTTCCTACATAAGCATAAGTTGATTGCATTTTGTATATGTTATCTCTTTCTAGAAACGTTTATAGCCACTGTATTAACAGCTGCACTACTTTTATACGAGTATCTTTCATGAATCATTCACTGATATTCTCTAAATATGGTTTCGTCTAAACAGAATATCTTCTATTTCGATAGCTCTGTTTTATGAGCTTCTTGCGTAATTATAATTAATTAGGAGACATTGACGATAAACAATAATAATTACGAAGCCGTTTGTACATTTGATATGAATACAGCACTTTAAAAACAGTATACATATACATATATATATTATTAGAATCTAGTGATCTAGTCAGTAGCAAGCAATACCGGCCGCGCACAACTCTGACAACGACTTTACTATTCAAATTTTTCGCCATTTTTTATCCGACAGGAAACAATCAAACTTCGCTCAAAAATCTTTTGATAAGTGAGACATAACTGTTAAGTTAGCCTAATCGCAAACGAAATCCACTATCTGCAAACGGACATCAATGCAAGGTATCTATGAATCTCAGGAATTGAAAATCAATTTCGGCATTGTTGCGAATTCTTATGCCTGTCTTTTCTGGACTCATATAACTTTTTGGATTGCGTAAAATAGAAATCCAGTACGAAGTTTGGTAGCAATAAATTAATTTCACCTGTCTATCAAAACAACTATACGATTTCGACGGAAGATTCTGCGACAATTACATGTGATATTACTTGTTTTATATGTAAGCTATCATTTTAGAAATATGTAATCTATTTAAAAACAAAGACTACAATCCGTTTTGCGGAAGTAATTATTTGCTATCAAACACTGACTGCCATTACAGACAATTTGTCACAAAGAAAAAACAATAAAGAAAGAAACTGACCTAAAAAATGGTTGCTTATACATATATATACAATGTAATAAATTTCGTTTTTCATGTTCTTAGCAAAGTGCGCACATATTATCACTTCAACAGTCATATACGATAGTAAGTAGTTACTTTTTGTAAATTGCAAAATTGTCGACATATGTATACATGCGAGTTCTAAATAAAACATATACAGATTGAGATCCAAGTTTCGAGCATGAGAAGTTTTCTTTATTTTGACACGATACATATCCATAAAAGAAATTATATTTAATTAGTTATAAATTAAAAAATCTAGCAGAACTTACAATGGTTTCTTTTCAGAGAAAAGATCACAGCCCGTTTTTTCAGCTTGCTCCTTGGCTTGCTGCGGCGTAAGCTTTTCATATTCACTAGGATTTAAAGGCTCTCCGTTCTCATCCAACTGACCACTTGCAAAATCTTCTTTTACCTTTTTAGAATATACTACATCAAACAAATCTTGAGCAGTGAATTCAGGCTCTCTAATTTCTCCTACTCTATATGATACATATGGTTTCAATGTGAAACCTTCTAATGAAGGAACAATTAATTCAGGAATCATCTCTGGCACTTGAACAAATCTATTACCAACTTGGTATCCAATATCCCTTACACCTCTTTCTGTAATTTATTACAGTAACTTATTAATATATTATATAATATTCCTAATTTTTCTATGAATTAATCTTTCTCTACATCACTTATAACTCTTTTACTCTTTATTTATGACATATAGGAAATATATTTTATATACAAATCAAATCAAATCATATTGACTTAGATCAAGATAATGTACTACTCCAAAATGTTATGTGTTGAAACTAGCAACTTACTATCTATTGGTATGTCAGGATCTGGTTTTTTTGCTTGTTGTTGTTTGAAGTTGCGACTACCACGTTTACCGTATAATAAGAATTTGCGAAAATTTCGCTTTCCATTACAAACACAGGAAGTCGCGATACTGCGTCGTAATATCATAAATGAAGACGACATTGTCAAGTTGTGCTAGTTAGAAAACTAGAAAACAAAAATTACACATACATTAAATTTAAATATGATTCGAATTATGACATAAGGAACCTGTTAATATTTGCAATGCAAGGATTATATTAAACATAACCTATATACAATTACTACGATTGCAATTACTACGACTCAGGGTTAAAAAGGCATCTTTGAAATCATCAAGACAAAACACTGGGATAAAGTCAGAATTATTATTTACAATCATATCAAAAAGTTAAGACGAATAATCAGAGAGTAACACAATATATTCAGAATTCTAAAAAGGTGTCGTGTAACCTCAAAAACAGATTAAAAGCACACAACTCACTAACAGATGGGATTAACTCCAAAAATCTCTTACGATAAATCACGACTTGTATTAGAGATAATGGATGGATAATAGATGACTTTCCATTTAGTCAACAAATCGACACAAATCTATTTTTCTTGGTATTCCATGACCGATCAAAAACAAAACGTGACTTACGTCACCAAATAGAAAACACCCACTGATTGACGTTTAAACGTCGTATTTGCTATTACTATAAAATCTTAAAATTCACAGTATCGTATAAAAAAAACTCACTCTGTAATTGATAAACCAACTGAGATCAAGCAGGAGCATTCATCCTCATTCTACGCCATTACTATTATTTACATGCGACAAATGCACCAATATCATGCATTGGTAATCCTCTATCAAAAAACTCCTTGGGTAAGTTTGCAAGATATCAAATTAAATAATCGGCTGTCGATTATTGAAATATATTATAATATATAATATTATCGATATAATATTATCGACTATCAATATTCTCGATTGACGGCATAAATATCTAAACAATTATTTCTTTACAATTGTAACTTAAAATATACCACTAAATTAATTTCACAACTTAACTTTAAAATATGTGTAGCAATTGTTACTGAATCATTGATAAAATTATTACTTTCAGGAACTGACGAGAAAACCCGGAATTAATTCCGATCTTGTACAAGAACCTCCAACGGAACACCTAAACTAGATTTTGCGAAAAGCGACGAGGAATAACTCTCAAATAACAGAATGATGAAAATAATTACGATTTTTCATCGCTATAAACCACGCATTCACTAACATCCATCTGACGCGAGGAATAGCAATGATATCTTTGTATAATAAATCACTAAGATATACTTATAAGTTATATTTCTGTAATGTTAAAAATGTAAATGTCAAAAAGCAAGCAAGAAGTTAATATTTATAGCTTCAGTCAAAGCTCCAATCTTTATGATTTAATAAATATACTATTATAAATACGAAGAAAAATTGACGATTATTCTAAACATCAAATATTTAATTAGAAATCACTCAAAATTAAATTAATCACTAAAAATTATTAAATAATTTAACTTTTGATATTTAAAATAAAATACAAATTTAAAAAAAGTTTCAATATTAAATATTTGTCAAACTTGTTAAATCAATAAACAATTTTTGTTATCATATGTTTCATCAATTTCGAGTAATTTACATCAATAAAGTAAAAAATTTGATTTACTACGACCAGATAAATGCTATCTGTATTGCGAATAGATATTCAATACTGATATACATATACATTCCAATAAATGTATAATTTATTAGTAATTATTTGTGCAAATTACAAATAAATATGAAGACATTTATCTGGACATAGTTTACATAAATTCTATATCACGTATGTTATATTATCACACATACATTTATTTACAAAATTAATTACGATAACGCGTTACATAATTTGTACATGTATAGAATTTTACAAAAAAGTTTAATGTCAGGAGAGCTGAAAAGGCTCGCTAAAATTTAAAATTAATTTGGTTTATTTTCATATTTGATAATTGGAACGGGATGCAATTTAATTACCAGATCGCGAAATTTATTTAAGTATTTATTTAATTTATAATAATTTAATTTATTTAATTTATTTAATGATTAAATTTTTCAATTTAAAATGATTGTGTTTATTCCTACTTATCCATACTTATTATCTCTACCTATACAATCTCCATCTATCCACACTTGTGCTATCTACCCGTATTTTCATTTATTTGTGCCATATTCACACCTTTCTCCACACTTGTGTAATTTTACCTACATTATTTCATTAATGTGCCATAACACTGCGAATTATATAATACGTTAATATGGCTTTTCAACAGAGAAAAGAGCTTCACAAATTGTAAAATTATAAACTTCATCAATACGATTGGATTTTGCCATTGGATTTTCCTTATGGATTTAAATGTACAAATCAATCATATTGAAGAATTTTACTTTGCAATAATTGCAAAGTTGCTTTTTCTGCTAAACATAGCAGCTAATGCCTAACCATCCTGATTGTATCGCGTACTGATAAATTCAGCGGAATAATTTAATCACGGTCATACAAATAAATGAACAATAAATAATAATAATTAAAACAAACTTTCAATCTTTAAAATACAAAAAAATGAATAATTAACAAGATTAATGAGAGTCAGCACCGATAATCAAGCGCAAGTTTTATAGATTTTTTTTAATCTACAAAACACACTTGCGCTTAGTTATCTGCACAGATTCTCATTAGCCCTGTTGTTTACTGGTTATTTTTGTATTTTAAATAAACAATAATTCAGAAAATATAAGAACTCGCATTTGTGAGCAAATTACCCTCCCGAATATTCAGTTTATCTTTATACACTGAGAAAATAAAATTTGTTCAACTAACTACACATTTAGTTATTTGCAGATTAGGTTAATTCAATAAATTTTATTTAATCGAATTTAACTGTAGTTTGCTTAACATTGAACAGTTCATTAAGCAAACTATGATTAAATTCAATTAGAAAAATAAAATTTGATAAAATAATCAAATCTGCAATTAATTAGATAAAAGGAGAGTTACTTTAAACTTAAAAATTACTTAAAAATTACTTTAAAATTTTACACAAATTTATTTTTGCTAAGATCTTTAGAAAATATATATATAATTACTTTAGAGAGTATATAATTATTTATAGAATTATTTTATAGAACATATAATTATTTAAATCATTTAAATGAAAATAATCATTTTTAAATCAATGCCAAATAAAATGATTTAAAAACAAACAAAAAAAAGTTAATTTTACACAAGTAAAAAATAATATTTACCGCAAGGTTGCTCTACAGGTGCCCGATGTCTCTCTCAGATCTCCTCCTCCTCTCAGAATTGGGTTGACATCCTCTCGCACAGGACACTCGCGTAAAACACTCGCGAATAATACATTATAATCGCACGCGGACTATAACTTGAGTCCGATAACTTGAACGGCACTCCCGAAGGAAACGCGCGACGCGACAAACCGGCTACGGTTCATTTTCAATTAAATTGGCGACGAGAGTACATTAGCTTCTCCGTTGTATTTTTATACGAAGAGAACGATTTTACTCAATATCTAAAAAATTATCTAGATATCATTCAGATAGATCCGAAAAGTTTTAGATACTTGAGAAAAACCGTTCTTTTCGTGTAAATATCCTCTGTATTGAGCCCTCCCATCACGTCAAGGTCGTACCCGTGAGATGAAAGATAATCTGAAAAATATTATATATATAGCTATTATCTATATTACTCAATTACTATGTAATCGGTTAATACTTTTAGAAAGGAATCAAACGCACGTCTGCAATTCGTTATCATTGTGAAATCAATTCAGATAAAAAGGTTGAATCTTTTATTTATAGATGATGTCTGTAAGATATGATTAGAGTCAATAAAATGAACTAGAGATTAATAAAAAAGAGAAATGTTTCTTTCATTATCAATAAATAATTTCAAAGTTACGTTTAATTTTTAATCGTATAACCAAAGGTGCACAAAAACGAAAATTTATTAAATTATTAAATTAAATTAATCGTGAAAGCAGGAATTGCGTTATTTGAGAGTATTCATATTAATCTTGCTTTTTTTATGACTCGTGTGATACCGTTCGTACAGACAAGTAGCCGTGTCGCATGCCGCTCTTCTTCACATTTCTTTTTAAAATATATAATAATTGCAAAAAATACTAGATATAATATGAAATGTTGTATTTTATGAATATTTACATAATACGATTACTAGTATGATTAATTATTCATTCATCACAAGTACAACGTTTCGTATTATATGTAGCATTATTCGCGAGATTTCAAATTAGATTAAGATTTCAAAAAGTAATGTGAAAAAGAGACACGACTACCTGCTTGTACGAATCTCGTAAAGGAATGACTGCGTCGTAAACAACGCCGCTCCGTGCTACCCCGTGCCATCCTCACCCCAAGGTCGCGCGCCAATCGTCTAACTGTCGAAATAATAGCGAATATTACGAATAAATAAAATAATATATTCTTTACATTTTTAATGTTCTCTGATTAATGAAATAATTTCTTATATGTATCTAGTTTTAGCAGCGCGAGTCTTTTAATGTGATATCATAATTATATTGCGATACATCGAGAAACATATTTGACATTCATTTTATAATTTTAAATATAATTTATCTGTTACTTTTCCCGTATCATAAGAATGCGGAGTAACACGAAAATGTCAGAATTATACGATTCAAAGTGATAAAAAGCCACAATTTGAAATATCTAACAATAAGAATTTCATTTTTATACCGTACATGTGAAATATCTAAATATTCATGAGCTGTGTATATGCGTAATAAATCTAAGAAATAAAGCAAAAAACGTGTGCAACAAAACTTATTAATCTTTACTACACTCCTTAGTTTTAGGCAACCTTACGTAATTCGCGTTCGTAGATATCTAATGTTCATTAATTAATGCGACACCCGAGCGACTCGCAAAACAAATCCGTCCCCTTCCGAGGTCGCCGAGCGAATGCCGAAGTGATGACGTAGTCAACCGTGCCGCGCGCCACGCTCCCCCACCCTGTTCGCCACGTGACACGCTCCCCTACGCCGTTCGCCGTGCGCCGTTCGAATTATTGCGTATAAAAAAAATATTCACAGTTTATTCAATTATTCGTATTTTATATGATTTTGACAAACGGATATCGTCGTATATTTTGCGTTTTGTTTTGTGGCATATCTGGCACAATTCTATATTGCTTGCATGGTTCTTTTAAACGTAATGAATAATTATTCGCGTGGGATATTTTTGATATTCCAATATTATGTCTCAATTTTCATTGTTCTTTTTAATAATTCATAGTTAAATAAAGATTGATAAAATATTCTATATACATATGTATGTGTGTGTGTGTTCTTTATATAAAGATACATACAAATTTTCTTAATATTGTGAAACAATTTGTGTTAAATACATCTTTGGCTAAAAGTATTAAATATGTTGTTAATCATTATTTAATTTTTCAGTTAATAAATTAATTTAAGACATTACTATTACTGCAAATTATTTTGTGTTTTAGAAATTCTTTAAACTTACCGTACGTGCCAATCACGGCTTGATAAAATAACATACGAATTATTTAAAATATAAAATAAGTTTTAGAAACTTATTTAAAATATAAAATTATAGGAATGGGTAAAAAACTA